GCTACGTATACGGTGTAAGATATAAATGTACGGTACGTCCGGTGTAATATAAATGTTCGATTACGTAGACATATTTTGAATTTGGTATATTAAAAAATTAGGTCTATTAATCTTGTAAGTGAAATATACATGTATATAGACGACACATGCGCGCACGCACGATATGTAGGTAGATATGGACTTGAAAAGGGGTTAAAGGATACTGTGTACATGATAAAAAGTATTATAGGCTATTCATTTGCCTTCGCTCACAATAGCGATATAAGAACGCCACGTCTATGCATTCATCGTTTCGAAAACTTTCGAGTATTGTCGTCGGCATTAATAAACATAAGCGTTAAACCGAAGGATGATCGGATATGCATAGCTAAACGGACAAGATGGATTAAACGCACAACATTCGACGTTGCACGAAAAAATTTCGACGTTATAAGAAAAAGAATTTTTCTTAACTCTTGAGATTTTGAAAATCACTAATTAACACTTTCTTTATACTGTAAAAAGAGTCTAACGATAGCTACCAAATGTTGAATGAGATAATTTCAGTGAAATATTCAATATAACCAAAAATAATTTTATTTTTCTAAATATCTATTATTAATCTATAATTACATCTATAATTACTAGTAAACGGTTGATCATATTATTATCGTAATACTTGTTAAAGATTTAAAAAAATAAAATTATTCTCAGTTAAAACCAAACATTTCATTGAAATTATTTTACTCGATATTTGGTGAGCTATTAAGATTCTTTTTCAATACACGTAATGATTTTCCGTTCTTTACTACACACCAATCATTCGTATTCCGAATTAATTTTCATTTTTATAAATATACAAAAATTATTAAACGATTCTTATATATACTCTAACATCTTTAGAAAGTATTTATAAAGTTATGTATTAGAAGAAGAATAGTTTATTAAGCTTACATCGCCAAAAAGAGACTTGGTTTACAATAACGTCTTAATTACACAGCTAATTATAAAGCGATTAGTAAATGTATTATAAAGTTGTGTATTTAAAGAAAAGAAAGAGATAGAAAAAAACCATAAATTCAACAAAAGCTGCAAGCCGATACTAGATAATCGTGTGTAAAAAGTATATTAATAAAATATAGAGATACAATATAAACGTTTCGATCCTCTATTTAGGTCCTTTTTAATATATCATGACAAATTGACAAAATAACTATTTCGTTTTACAATATGATCAGTAAAATGGTGAAAAAGATAGAGATTATTACTTTTGAAGCCAGATACCGCTAGTATTTCGAAGAAAAGAAATACGCAAAACCCAATCGCGTCTACTAAAGGTTAATATTGATGAATTAAAGAATGTAAAGACGCTGGCATTGATCATCTATGCAGCTAACGTTCGTAGGGAGAGATCTCTTTTCTCTCGCATTGACCAAAGATCAAGAACGTCTGGTCCGCGATGCATATAGAGGCGCCGCGTATTATAGAAGGTGTGAAAAGGTGCGAATCTTCGTGCAACGACACGATTATGGTTACAGCCATAATTTGTTCGCCGTACACGTTGTATGGGAGTCGGTATATTCGCTGACTCCCCGTCGTCTCCGATGACGATTTCTCGCCTCGAAGAACGCGCTGAGCCTTAATTTCTCAGTATCTAACACCACAGACGGTGTGTTATTCGCTACGCTTGTTGATAATGCTCCTCTTCTTCGCGTGCATCCTCTGATCTCGGCGGACGCGCGCGTGCGTTTTCATTAGCGTCCACTATATCTCCGCTTCGCTAATTAATCGATCGCCGCAGCCCGCAATCCGCATTTCGAGGACCGCGTTCGCGAGAGAGGCGTTCGCCACACCGATTGATATTTCCCACTCATCTTCCGATCGACGAGCAAATTCTATCGTTGCGCTGCGCTGGTAAATTATCCGTGAAGACCGTGTCGGTCGATGGAATATCCATGATCGGAGCATTACTTGACACAGGATATTTGACAATGCAAGGGTCATGCGAGTTGAAACCGGAAATAATAACCTACGGTTCTCGTTCCGCGTCGAACGAAACCCCGCTTTCCTTTTCCGTCCGGCATCGAGCTGTCACGAATCCGCCGCTGTTCACGAGTTCCCCCAGTTTTCTTTCTATCCAATTCGAAATATCTCGAGATGTCACTAATTAGACGCGACGTAACCGTAACCGCGTAATTGGAGAACGGGCGTTTCATTTACCGCGTGCGACTCGAGATCGCTCCAAATTCATCTCGACAATGCCAGGCATAGCATATAGTGACGCTCGATGAAAGAACAGAAAATCGCTGTTATTTCTCGGGATTATTTGTTGAACTCTGAACTATGCGTCGTGAACATCGCGCTAGTGCTCGACATCGCGTGTGCGAGCTGGCGCGCGCGCGAGCGCGACGTTGCGTCGCGTCGCGGCCACTCGGTTACGTCACTGGCATCATGGACATTATTATGTTCTTACTGACGCAGGTACAATATGCCTGCCACGCTATTAGAGCAGGCCGCGTTAACCTGAAACCGCGCCGTGCGCAAGCGGAGCGTGCGTATTTCATAACGTCGCGCACGCTCGCGCGCGCGCGAGAGAAAGAGAAGCACAGAAACATTTGTAAGCGATATATTCTATTCCTTATTATCAGCAAAAAAGAAATGAAAAATGCGCCAAGTGAGATGCTTCTCACTTATAAATGACGATCTCGCGTCCTTGCTACTTCCACGAAGGTGAAACGACTTCGAGGAGGAAAAATGTCTTCATTCGTAAGCGCGATGCGTTAACAAGCCGTCGCTCGTTAAACTCTGATTATACGTATACATTTAATTTTGATCGTATTAGACGATAAGATCGAGCGATATTCGCTCATTCTTCATTTGTGTGACACGATTTGAAAGATCTACTCCTAAGTAGGAGGCGCACGTGTAGGTATGTCTCTTCTCCGGCCAATTTGTCGCGCAGAAAGACCTCGAAACGGATGATTCGAGCGATTCGAGCGATTCGAGCGAACGCAGCCGCTCGCGTCCCAGTTGAGAGAAGAGAGCACGTGTTACATAGCACCGTAATAGCGATTTCATTACCGGCCCGTATATGGGACATGTATTAGAGTAACATCTGCATGCCGAATCGGCGTTCGAGTGCGAGTTCTATTAGAAATTCGTTCCTCCTAGTCGACTCGTTATGTGACATTTCTTTTGTTTCCTTCTCCTATATTTTTTTTCCCCTTGTATTTTTTGCTGCAGCTAAAACCGCGACGCACGACGGTCGAATGCGCCAGTGCAGGCCTCGTTGGTTTTTCATTCACGAGATTACGATAACTCACGCGCGTTTACATTGCGATTGATATTAACTTCCTTTCCCACGCTTAGTATCAGGATTGCGTTATCTGCGCGATGCGCGCGGCGACGCGACGCGACGCGTTAATCGTGCGCGCGGAACGGCATTGCGACGGTGTTTACCGTGTAGATATCCTAGGGTATGTGCAACGTTAAAAATGCAGAATTATTCGAAAAGCAACTAGGGAAAAAAAAGAAGAAAAAAAAAATACATTTTGCGAAATCGCTGAGCGTATGTTGTATTCGGCTGTTCCCTTTCTCCTTCTCTTTGCCTTCTTGTTCCGTGACGCGATGATCGCTACACGTCACCTGAAATAACAAATTCTATCCATTGAATTATTCAGCTTTATGGCTCTGCTTTTCATTTGCACACAAAACGTATGAACATTTTTACGTCGGTTTCATGTAGTAGCTCGAATGAGCTGAAGCAAGCTAAAGTCGTAATTATCGGTCGTCCGGGACGGTTTTTGCGGTGTTGATCGCATCGATGCGAGCCGATGAGAATAAACCGGCGTATAATTGTATTCCACTTTTGCGATCGTGGATTTTACATAAATGTCGCCGTTGAGCGTGACGTTAGACGTCGCTTCCCGTCGCTCTTAACATACCGAAATGTGTAAAACGAATAAAAAGAAAAAAGGCTGTTACGCGGAGGAAAGGTGGAGACTCTTGTCGTGAGCACTGTATGCAAGTCAAACGACGCATTATTCCTTGACCTGACCCAACGAAACCTCCTTTCATATTCATTAGGATCGTCCCACTTCAGCCCGCCGCTTTGGACCACGAAACGCAAACCGTGTATCTCCGACGCATGAATTGATTTGTGTGAAAGATATACCGGAGGAAAAAAATAACTCCCATATAACGCGAAGGAGTTAAATAGTTATCTCCGATAATATAATTGATGTACTTTCAATAGCGTAGTTTCTTTTTCCAAGCACGTTCAGCTCGGAGAAAACTGAGAAAACGGGTCGCTGAGGAATTGGAATATACCTAGATTATAGAAAAAGTGAGATACAATACATTCCTCGTGTCCGATATCGTTAATCACATGATATCGGACGCAGTAAAGTCTGCGTATCGTCTGCTCTTCATCTCTCATCCGCCGTTTTCTTCCTCAGCCGTCGCTCATTGTATCTACGTTTTCTTTTCTTCCTCGATCCGAGTTGAAGATGCGTCAGATGAGAATGTTTTATCATATGTGTAAAATCGTCCAAGCACAATGCTATTCCTGGGTCACAGGGCCGTATGTATAACGCCTGTACATCATGTCATTAGCATTTCGACAACGTTGTATCGTTCACCTCGAAAAGATTTCCGTATCGGTTACGCATCTACGCCGGAATGAGACACGCTAATCTGAATGCGTTCCGTTTTCAAAGAATCACCCGTTTTAAAGACGCACGAGGAACTTCTGTCACAAGAATCTAATTGTCTCAACTTCCTTCTATTACCGTGGCCCCTATCCCTCCTCTTCCACGAAGATATAATTCACATCTGGCTGAATGTATACATCGTAGCTGATCTATCCTGCTGATAGATTCAACTTAGATATGGTAGATTAGATACAAATTGACTTTCAAAATAGGAAAAACAAAACTCAATTTCTCGACGACAGAAATTACAGAGCATTAAAACAGACGACTCGACGCGTATCTCCATAATCCGATCTTTTATTATTGTAGAGGGACGCGAATCACACCGATGAGGCCGAAGGGATTTTCTGGGAACCATCGTGCGCAATCGACAATCGCAACGCAAGGAATCAGAATCATGTACGCCAGCTACAGGAGCAGTTGGCACAAGCCACCGTGAAAGTACGCGAATTAGAATGCGAGCTAAAGCACGTTCAGAAGGTAATAATTGTTAACAGCAAAGTGCCATGTAATACGATGTTAAGTTGGTGGAAATAACTAATGTACAGGTGAACGCGTCCTTCAAGGATGATATATCCGACGGACATCAGAAGGCTGAGGTTGTACGGGCTAAACAAGACATGCTGAATCGCATAATACAAATGGAAGAAAAGGTATGGAGCGATATATCAATTATGCATCTTTTACATCATCTTCCTGTTAAGATTCTAAATTTTAAATAAGGTTGAATTCAAAAAGTCGCAGTAGAATTGAAAAGAAGACGAACTCTCTCGCACGCATGTGTGTAAGAAAAAATAAATGTTAAAACGTTAAGTTGTATAAAGAAAGAAAAAAATACGCTTTCCCGGGAATTAGATATTGATTCGATACGGAGTAGTTAATCTAGTGGAAACAAATTTTTTAGAAATTAATAATTTATCATACCGCTATGAGTAAAAAAAATTTATTTTTTGTAGGTATTCATATAATTTTTGTGAAAATTTTTTATTAGAATTATACTTTTTACTATTTTAAGTAACATATGGTCTCTTTATTAATTTGTAGAAAAAATAGTTTTAATAAATCACATGGATAATTAAACTAGATTACTTTCACTTTAGGTCTGTTTTCTGTGGCTGAACTAGTATACGCTTTTGGAACTTAAAGTGAGAAAGATATACGTTTGATATTTGTTTAAAGCGAGAAAGAGAGTTCTAGAATAGTCTAGTGCAGGAACAGAAAACAGACCATTTTTCACAATATTTAGTATCGACATTATGCTTTTTCTTAGACCCGGGAAGCAGAACGAAACGCTAAACATATCCAGTTGGATGAAGCCAGTCTTATCAATGATTTTCGTTCGGTAATATCAAAATTAAATTCACGTGAGAAATTTGACTTAATCAGCGGAGCGTTAAAAGCTTTACAAATTGAAAACGAAGCGCAAAAAGAGACGATTGAAAAAATTAAGGATCATGAAAAATCCAACCAAGATCTCGAAAAAGTCGATGTCTTTGAATATAATTCTTTAGCTCTCAAACATGCAAATTCGCAAGAGGGCAAATCGCATGATACGACCGAGGAACTTTTGATCAATAAAGAAGAGATGTTACAAGAGAGAATAAATGAACTCCAAAATGAAAATAAAGATCTTCTAAATGTTATGGAAAAATTGGACGGGGAATATACGCAGTCGATTGGTAAGTAAATAATAGTCTTATATAGGTATAATGCATCGACATATACAATTTTGTTGATGTATCTGTTTTTTCTCTTAATAATCTTTTCGTTGCTAAAAACTATAATAATAAATTCTAATTTTTGCGCAGAAAATTTATTATCGGTCAAAGAGGAAAGTAATAAGAAGCATCGCTGTCTACAAAATGATTACGAACAACTTTCCGTACATTACAATGAGGCCAAGAAAAAAATAATTGAATTACGAAATGACTTATTGAAACGCGATGAAAATACCTGTACAGAAACAATTCATCAGTTTATTCAGACGGATAATATAGATAAATCAGACAAACATGTTCAAATAACAGTTTCTTCACAAGAAGCTGACATAGTATCAGAAACAAGCAGACTAGACGATATTACTGAAAAAGTTAAAATTATTTTAAAGAATTGTACCATAAGTACTGAACCGGGAGAATCAATCTTCGAAGGTATTGCGAAACAATATGTTGATGCTAAATGGAAGCTAGATGTTTTGGAAAGGAAGATAACTGAAGTTACTAGAGATTTGAAGGAAACCGAAGAGATGAAAGATGGCTTGCAAATGGAATACGAAGAACTGCAATCTCACATAGATTCGTTATTGTTGGAGAAAAATATGAGAATGAAATCGTGTCAGGGTTTAGATTTGAATTTGCCATCTATTCCTGAGACAAGCGAAGAACGAGTAGCTTCTCTAGAAATGGATATTGAATCTTTACGGGAAGAAATAAAACGCCTCTTGACTGAAAACAAAACGATACAAGAAAGAAATTCAACTTTGATGCTTGCTGTACAAAGTAACGAAGTGCCTTTAACGAACAACAATGATTTACAAGGAAATATAAATCGCAAACTATATACACTTATAGAGGAAAATAAAGAACTTCCAATTGCTTTAGAAGGGAGTAAAAACTCAAACGCAGATATAACATTGATCGAGCAATTGAAACTCGATCATGAAAATGTGAAAGGAGAATTAAAGCTATCCGAAACGAAGTCATTAGAAACTAATCTTGCATCTTTGCAAGACACTGTACATAAATTGACAGAAGAAAATAAAGATTTATTACGGAAGAATAAACACTTGGATATGCAATTACATGACAAAGCTTTGTACGAACGTGACCTACAAGAAGAAACTGGTTATTTGTTGGAAGACTTGCAAAAACGACTCAATAAAGCCGATTGCGAAAAATTAGATTTGGAAAATGACATTTTACATAAAGAAGAACAATTGGCTGCGATGCAGATTCAAGTTGACATGAGACAATCTGAAATAGTAAAATTCTATCAGGATAATGACAGATTAATTAAAGAAAATACATCTTTGTCAGAACAATTAACTGCTACGCACGATGAATCCTTGGATAAGATAGAGTTATTAAACACGGAAATGTCGTTGCTTCAGCAAGAACATGAAGATTTGAAACAAGAAATATTGATTTACAAGGAAGAATTACCTGTATTGAAGGAAAAATTATACAAGGCACAGCAACAGTATACAAAACTGGAAAATGAATATTATGCATTTAAGTTGCAAAGCGAGCAATTTCAATTACATAAAAAGTATATTCAAAGTCAAGAAATAAAACCCGGAAATGAATCAAGTCTCAAAGAATCGTTGACAGAAGAATTGAAAAAAAATGCTGCGGAGATATCTTCGACAAACATAGACAAAACTAATAAACAGGAAAAGCTTTCAACTGAAGATAACTTAATCGGAGTAGAAAATGCAGTTGTAGACGTGAACATAGAAAAGCAAGGTTTAATGACAAGAGATATAAACATAACATCTAACGAACAACAAACGTTTAAATCAATTGTCGATGAAGAAAGACGAGAAAAAGACATCATAAAAGCGCATAACGAAAACTTGATGGATGAAATTAACAATTTGCGCAGCAAGTTACAAACCGCTTTTGAGAATAATAAAGAATCAGCAGAAATGGCTAAACAAACTATTGAAGATCTTTCTCATATTATTAGAGAAAAAGACCAGGAAATAAATATTTTACGAACTGAGATAACTCACGCGAAGAATATTATCGCGCAGTCTTCGGACGATCTTGCTGTAATCAGAAACCAGAAGAGTGAGATTGAACAACTCGTTTCTATTAAACACAACGAAAGCTTACAATATCAAAACGAGATTCAAAAGTTAATTCATCGCCTAAATGAACAAGCAGCTCGCATCCAAGAATTATATTTTAAGCAAACAGCGAACGAGATGCGTAATAAGGCGAATGTAGAGACTCAGCAAGGAGGTCACGATGGAGTTGATTCCAGCCAAGGTATCGAAATCATGGCTCTGAATAAAAAATGCGACGCCCTAGAAGCTGCTCTGATGCAAGAACAGTCTAACACTAGAATTTTGCAAAACCAGCTTATCGAAATTCAAAACAAGGAAGCTAATTCCGGTAAAGAATTAGAGAGATTGAGAACACACTTGGTCGAAATGGAATCAAGTTATACGGAGGAAGCCTTAATCGCAGAAAATAATCGTCAGGAGTTAGAAGCAAGATTATTGCAAGCTGAAGAAAAAGTAAAAAGTAGTTCAACCGCCTTCACATCGGCAAATATTAGGGCTAATCAGCAAGTAGAAACGTTGCAGCAACAAATAGCTTTGATTACTCAACAAAGGGATCAAATACAGGCGAAATTATCCGCAGCAGAGGACAACATTCAGTTGCAGTCTGCCTCTTTGACTAATTTACAAATAGTTTTGGAACAATTTCAACAAGGTAAACAATAATGATGTTTTATATATCTAATATTGTTACAATATATCACATCAGTTATGCCTTCATATAGTTTGTCTTCGTATTATAAACTTTATAGTAATTGTATATGTATATCTATAACATATATATATATAGATCTCAAATACTATGATATATTGACGATGCCATGCTTACAGATAAAGAACGCGACGTCATGGCGGCTACAGAAAGACTTCGATCTCGACTCGCTGAGTCATACGAGAAACAAGATAAATTAGTAGATGACGCTTCAAATCTGCAGGTTTGCCTTTATATCTTTCCCATGCATTCGCGTATAAATCTGACTCGATTTATTTTCTTATAAAACTATATACCTATTACTTGTACGGTGTGCTTACAGCAACAGTTACGTGAAGCTAGAGAATGCTTGAAAGCTGCCTCTAGACTAAGCGAACAACTCGAGAAAAAGGACGAACAAATCGAGCGACTCAACGAGGAAGGTAATTATTATCAAAGATTACGTATATCTGGCGTTGTCTGCATCTTGCTCTTTGTTTATGGCATGATTAGTGTTTTTCGATTAAATCATTTTATGCATCATGAGAAGCAAGTTGAAAATAAGTTTCCCTTTCATCACGATATAGAAGGCTGGTCACGTATTTTTTTTTACACATATTTCTGCTTTTGTTTTAACCCATTCTGACAAAAACCGAGCTGCGCGCTTCGGCACTAATTTAATAGTGCGTCAAGTATAAATTTTATACAAATGAATTTGTATATGAAAGTAATATACTATGAAAGCAAAAAAGGAAGAAAAAAGAATAAAATCAGAACAATTCGACACCATCGATAATCCTACATCATTACAGTTTCGTGCTGTTGGCGGAGAGTGCAATAACTTGATTTGACAATGTCAAAAATATTTGTAACTACAGTCAAATTTTTTTACCAAATTGTGCTATAAGTCTCATGGATTGTAGCACATGTGATAAATAGATCTATCAAAATTATAGACATGTAAAAATTTTTCATGTTCTTCCTCTCTCCAATGATAGCAATATTGAAGTTACTCAGCAGCTGCCGCGATGATAAATCGGCAAAATATTCAGACGTGCACCGTTGAAAGCATTACTAAATTTTTACTCTACGGATCTCTGAATGGAATACATCAATCTCATATATGGCTCTTTTGTAAATAACATAAAGCACGTATTACATATGAGAACATTTAGGATTTAGAAACGATTTAGGTAACAGCAGAAGGGACATCATTCATATATTATGTAATGTACACGGTTGAGAAGAGGACACGGTTGAAGAGAAGATACGATAAAGCGTGCATTGTCGAGAATACAAACCAACTACAGTGTAGAATTATCAGTATGTTCGCGTTCTGTGACTAATCTGCGAAAGCAAACACATACACAATCCGGTAATGTAGTCAAATATCAGCTGGTAATTCTGGGATTTATGACAGTAGCCCAGGATTCTTGCTGGTATCTGGCTACGAACTGGATCATCGCCTTTGCATACTCACAAATCACGTATTGGTTCATGCAATTACCGTTGGTGCTGGTACTACGTTTCTGCACTTTACCACATACGAATTCTTGTTTCTCCCACCCCTATTGATGACTCTAACGTTCGGAAACTTAAAGAAAAGGACATTAATGTTGCACTTTCTTCTATATATGACGATAAGCTCAGCTAGTATCCTCATCGCCTATTTTTGCTCGATTGAATCATTATTTCGTTATTATTATATCGCAACTAATTACTAGTACGATGACTAATTAACAGTATGATTGAATGGCTGTATGTATATTATAGAGATCCCCCTATTAGCAATCTATTTCTGTGTAGTAGAACAAATTTGTACTCTTTTTATTATGTATGTACATGTAGTAAGGATATTGTCTTGTTTTCATTTTATAATATCTGAGACTATGCAATTATTCTACGTAATAATATAATTTGTTATGTCGAACGCATGCAAAATAGTAATGTATAGTATAAAAGACACAAAATATTTTGTAATTTTTCAAATCTCTACATATGCGTAAGCCAAATGTATTAACGATATATATTTAAACTTTAAACATCGAATCAAGACGTCAGATTGCGCGAGGTGGTCTTAATTATGTATTAATTATAACAATAGGTATTAATTATAACGATATAATTATCACAATTACAGGTATTGTAACGATACGATTGTCTCGAAATAATTGCCACTGCTTTTGTCTATAAATTCCTCGCTCAGTATTAATATTTCTTAAAAAAATAAATTATGTCAGAATTGTAATAATTAATTTCTATATAAATAGTTGAAGAAACCGAAAAGCTTAGGTGAGATATAATTCAATAATAAAATCTTATTTTAGAGCTTTATACAATAAGCCGTTACTTAAAGCTATAAGAAATTAAGTAATCATAGTCGACATATATTCTTCTCACATTCGACTGTGATTGGTCAATTTCTTATTAAAACTTAAGTAATGGCTTATTGTAGAAGAATGCGTATTATGCTTTGTTTAATTTTACGCAAGATTACATCACAGTGTGATAAATAAAATGAGGTACTCCATAATGGTGTATACTGTAATGTGTATACAAGTAATGAATATTAAATATAAATGTAGAATATTAAATAGAAATGAAATTAAAATGTTGAATGTAAATAAATAACGAACACGTGATCATGATTTGGTAGCGATAGCCGTGGGTAATCTCATGCGGTAACTGTGAGCGTATAAATACGAAAAGCTCATATTACCTCGTGGGGTTTCCCACTCGTTACCAAGATTCGTCAAAATTATGAACTTAGTTCGGTCAAAGATTATTTTGATAGTCAAAAAAATCAGTCACTTTTTTGGTCTTAAAAAATTCATAGCATGTCACAATTGTTTTTTTTTTTTTTTTTTTAACAATCCGTAAATTTTGAGGAGTGGCAAAAGATACAGCGTTATGTATGTAAGTCGCTCTCTTATTCTCTTTCTCTACTTCTATCTCTCGGAAATTCCGTTCGAACGTGCTCTGGTACGTGATTCTGGAGTACGGATCGTTTTACTAAAACGCTTCTTTAATTCTAGTGGCATGCGCGCAACCTTAGTTTCGTAGAACGGCATGATAAACGAAGAATGCAGCATGAGCAACTAAAGGCGCAGGCGAGAGTATTGCATCAGGTACTGGTGTGATATCGAAGCAACCAGTACTTGTGTTATACTTACGCTCGTGTCTTTCCGAGCTACCAATTTGCCAACTTTACAACGATGGATACCGCGCATGGTGTACATAAAAAAAAAGTCAGAAATATTCCGCAATTGGTACTATTACAAATAAGCATCAACCACGTTCCACAAAGATTTGACAGTTTTCTGCGGATGAATGCATTTATACTGAATCTTCTCTACCTTCTTACTTTCTTTTTTAATAGAAATTTGCAGTTTTTTTTTTAAGAGCTCGATTACACATTTATTTTCTTTATTAATTATATTAATAATGATAGATAATATGTGTAATATTCATTTCCAGTGATACGATTGACAGCATCTTTAAATTCTGCTGATCAAAAGGTGAAAGAGGCAACGGAACATGATGAGGGAAAAGTTGACAAGTGAGTATATTCCAAATATATTCCACCTTTAATGAAATGAATGCGATAGTATCTTTTGAAATACTTGCAGAGTCCTCATAAAAAATCTTCTTTTGGGCTATTTGGCTTCGACCACGTCGGACAAGTCTTCAATTCTCAGAGTCTTTGCCAACGTCTTGGACTTCACCGAGCCGGAGAAAGATAAGACTGGCTTGAATAACGTGATAGCACACAGTAGCCGTCAAGCCAACAAAAATAGCGGCGCATCTTTAAAAGTACATAGACTTGTTTATCAATTAAATTAATTTTATTAGCCGCTCGATATCATAATTCTGCTTGTATTCGAAATTCGATAATTCGGCTTACAATCATATCACCGAGATCTAACATTGCATATCTTATAGGATCAAGAAGCATCCTTATCAACGGCCTTCGTGAGGTTTCTAGAAAGTGAATCTAAGCCAAAGCCTCAGTTACCAGCTTTGCCTATTGTGAATTCAGTAAGTAATATCAATAACTCTGCATAATGCAATTATTCTCTATTAAAAACTCTCATTATGTGCTATAATCGCAGCCTTCATCGCGACCAGGATATAATAAACAACAGTCATCATCATCATCATCATCGGCGCAATCTACATTACTATTGTCCAACGTTGCTCTTCCAACATTCCCAGACTTTATTCCAGCCAGAAATACAGGATCCATTTTGAAGGAGGTGTTGAAGGATAGTTGATATTTAAACACGTTATATTAAACATTGTACAAATAACATTAGAAACTATAATATAATCGATTGCATTTTATATCAATCCGTAATAGTTATTTCTACCGCCTAACCGCATACCATTTCGATCACTTTGCAAACAATCCTAAGATTTTTTTAAGTAAAACTCTGTATGCATATTATACATATATGAAAAATAAGATTTTTGTTTCATTTGAAATAACTTTAATGTAGCTATAAATGTTACAATGAACAAAAAGTATACTATACCGCTGCACTCTTTCGGCGCAGCAAAGTAACAAGATTCTCTATTTATAACGGTGACATCATATATAAGTAATAAATACATAGTAAAGTTTCGTTGTGTAACTAACGCGCGTACTAAAGGCATAAATACAAAATAAGGCTATGTATTCAAACAAAATTAGTGTACAAAATATAAATCTATTCAACGGGGCTTCGTAACACATACATTATTACCATATTTTATACGAGAGATATGTACATAGATCGGCATTTCTTCATTGAAGACTCGATCATACAAAAACTGGACAGCATTAACATTTTACGAAAAAGTGGATGTAGGGCGGTATACATAGTTTGTTCTTATTTTAAGACCGTCTTCAGTGATGCTAATGCAGTCCTGATCGACTTATGACATCTTAAAATAGTCTCAAATATAAAAATCGACTATGAATACCGGCCATATATATATATATTTTTTTTTTCATTGAACAACTGAAGCTATAAATTTCTCAATAATCATCATAAGAGTAAACAGACAATAGCCATTAATAATTAATAATTAATGTTTCATAATCTATAAATAGGTGCCCTCCATTTATTTAATTACATTCATATTAACTGACGAGTTTTCATATATTATCCCAAACAGAAAAATTTTAATAAGCATTCGACCATAATCAATTATCATAATCATTTTCTGAAATACATTATTATGATGTTATCATATACATTATAAAGAATATATCTCTATATAAATCATAATCTTCAATAAGTATTTTAATCTCAATAATTTCCATAAAAATCAATAAATTGTTACATGACAAAAATTTTGAGATTCTATTTGTTAAATATTGGTCGATAATTCACCAAAATTTGAGTTTTTAAGCAACTCTTTTAAGGAAGATTTAGAACTTTATTAATAAATGCCTCAATTTCCTCAATTTCAAAGTATCGATGTAACTTTTTCTAAAGAGAAAACGTGAAAAGTGCAAATTTTTATTTATGTATGTACGTACACACACACACATACACATATATAAAAAAAATTTCATTCTTCACATTTCCACTCTAGAGAAAAAAATACATGATTGATTCCCTGTAGCAGAATAAAAGTTTATAATTTCGCAAAATTGATTTTGATACAGATGTATCATATTGTCTTATATTACGCGCACTATGAAACTTTATAAACTTTATGTCGAATATCAAAACGGTATTATTTTCAAAGTTGTGCCCGCACAATTTGGCGTGGATTGTACTGCTAATTACAGTTTTTTAAATGTGATGAACTTTGATATATAAATCTAGATGTCTAAATCTTGTTCAATGCAAAAGCAACCGAAAGATTACTGTTTAAAACAAAAGTCAATACACATGTACATTTTAAAAACAAAATAATACCACGTATCGACATAATGTATAAAATTCGAATAACTTCCAGATAATGCTCGATCGATTTTCGTCGAAATTATTGTTGCGTAGATAATACATATCGGTATGAAACAACGCAGTAATCGTTTATAACAATGTAAATTAAAATATCTAATGTAAATACAGCGTTTCTGCAGCACATATGGTGAATATTTCGCGTATGAACGCGTTGTCTAGAGAGACTCGGCTAATCATCTAAATTTTAATTATAACGCGTACGCGCGCGAACAACGATGTGTTAGTTTTAACTGAGTGCGAACATTTATTATAGCATAAGAGAGCGGAACATTTTTGTAGCAATTATTCTCGTATGTCACGGATATTAAATGTAAAACGTTTCACAACGTGGAACTATGTTTAAGCTCCATTTAAGTTCCGTTTTTGTGCCCCTTCTCATGATTTTTCAGGCTTATCACATGTTTTATTATACACTAACGCGAGATTCAAGAAGTACCTTAAATACAGATCATAAATTTTCAAAAATTTCAAATCTAAAAGTGACATTGTTATCGAGACATTAGTTATTTTCATATGCAATAGAAGCAACACTTTTGACGCACGAGAGTATCCGATATTTGACTTATTTGATCTCGTCATACGCTGCAACAATCCATATATATTTCAGTGTATATTTAGTTAATAAAGCGTTATTTTTCTCTAAAAGAAAAATTGTTCATAAAAAAACCCGCAGTCCCTATATTAAGTATCTTGATAATCGAGGGACATTCAATATTCTAATACTCTCGAATCATTTGTTGATTCTAGCAGCTTGATTTACATCGTTTTAAAATAGCACAATCAATACTAATGAAACGTCTATCCGAAAAGACACGGATACTCGTACGCAATCGAGATTATACCATGTGTTCGATAGTCCTTTACAATTGTCAACAATCTTATCTAAAGCATTATCAGTACTCTTTTGGTCCTATTGTCTACTATACTATACATACATATCAGCGTCAAAGTTTCGCTTCTCGCACCATGTATAACGACTGACCTAAAAACGCGATCGTATATCATAATTTCATCTCCCATAAGACGATATGTGCGTCGTTGCTGTTAGGATCTTTAAACGCGTAGGTCGATTTTGAATTCTTGTCAACACCGGATTGCGCGTGTAGTTGCCTCCAATTGATATAACCGCGTCCACCCATAAGTGTTAGCACCGTTCTTTTGGGTTGATCTACTTGCTGAACCGCTTTGCCATTTTTCTTGCCGTTCGCCTTGAGATTAGTCGCGGACGTTGCTTCCAATCCCGATTCTACTACGCTATTGTTAGGTGTAGAGAGGTCGTAGGGACCATTACGACTAGCTATGCTACTATTACGCGATAATTTTCCAGTTTTTAGAGACAAGTTCTCCTCCGATCCGGAAGACGTGTACAAGGAGCTGGTGTGAGAGTCTACCGACCAGTTGGAAAGATCCAGCGATCTAGGCCTAGTGATTTTCATTTTTAATCTACGATCCAAGGTACTCACTTTATTTGGTATGGCAGCCAGCTCTGGATCGCTTCTTCTCAACGACTCGTAAATGGGATCTATACCTGAATTGTTTTCATTTTCGTAATCTTTCACGTACATCAATTCACCGTACAGTCCATAAACGTCACAGTTTTCACCGGAACTTTGCGAGCTGGAGAAGGAGCTCGACAGAAATCCACAGCCAGCGCCTAATCCTCTAGGAAGCGTTTTCGAGCCTCTGCAGTCATATTCCTTGCTTCGCTTTCTTCTCAACATCACCGGGCTTCCCGTTAACTGTTGTTTTAGTTTCACGATGTTGCTACACATGGAAGAATCTAAACTCGTTCTGTCACGCGATCTCTGCTCGGCATCTTTCGCCCTCAATTGTACACTTTCGTCATCAACATTAACTCGTTCCTTCGCAGAGTACACTGTATTCTTTGTATTCTGTATCGCTAGCAAAAAAGTAATCGGACCGAAGTGGGCGTGATACGAGATATTGACACGACCGCTAATAATAGGTACGCCTTCCAATCGCGGTAGTGGAATAGTCAGACTAATGCCTACATTAGTACCGACCCATAAAAGACCCTTGCATGCTAAAAGCGCCGTGACCGTGACCGCAGTTTGATTATTAACAGCGAGGGTGCCAGCACACGAGTTTGCAGGATTATTCATTTTCGTCACTCTCAACACATTGGACGCTATATTAATGTCCTGCAGGTGTTTAAATGTTTCTGTATGATAAAGGCAAACTGTGCTAGAGTTTTTCAGAGCGACCCAAAGACCGACTCCGGAATGGGCCATGAGCTTCACATTCCCGACATGTTCATGTTGCGCATTGAAGCTCTTGATGACGTCGCCCGAAGTAGCGTTAAGTACCCACACCTTCTTGCCACAAGCGGCATAAACTGACGTATTGATTGGCATTAAGCACGAGACAGGATCGTTACCCAATGATATGCTGAAAGGATCTTTCAAACTCCATGCGCCATCGGCTTGTCGTTTAAACAAAAGTAACAAGCCCATGCCTAAAGCTACGAAAACGTTGTCGCAATGATACTTGATTTCTATTACGGGTCCCGAGACAGGATAACTGCCAATCTCTTCTTCTTTCTCGGGTTCCGTCGCGGCATAAATTATAATCCTTCGAGAATCCGTACCCATCCATATAAGATCGCTGGCGAGCGTGGTAAGATCGCTGGACACTCCTTTTACAAACTCGATAGCGCTAACTCTAGTTTCGACCAGATCAAAAGTAGTTATACGTTTCAAACAAGTCGCTGAAGCTGTTGTCGATTGACCGAAAATCGTTACGTGGCTAGATATGCCATCTCCTGTACATATCCACAAGTAATTTTGACTTCTACCGCGTCGTCTCGTGGGACGTGAATTTTCAACAGAATAATAACAACCGCAACGCACCTGTAAGCAAGATATATTGCAACATGTAAATGCGTTATGTATAAGCATATAAAATAGTAATGTACATACATATTCTTCATCTCAACTTACTTCAGTCTGATGTTGCGAATGATAGACGGCTTGTGAACTAACGAAAAGTGGCATTTTCGTGGACGGCCTTTGCTCTTGTTCAGGTACTTCCCACGAGGGAGAGTTATTAGGATCCAAAGCTAATTGCGCCAATCTAAGCTCCGTTATCCAATCCTTTTTTACTAATGGGTTTTCTGTTTGAAACGTGTACATTTGACCTTGTTTTGTGACTAGCTGGAGACAACAACTATCGGCCCATACCATATCCTCATCTTTCTGCTGTATCGACATTTGTATCGATTGCAGAATTTGCTTGGTAGTCTGAAGCGTCATCCCCTTTGAATTCGGAGAAAAATAAAACATTAACTAATTTGCGCGAGTCAATTACAATTTCTAAATTGTTATCACAAATATATAAATTATATATATTTACTTCAACGTACACAAAGTATATAGTAGCGAACTTATCAATTTGTCTTTACCTCGTATCTGCCCTTTAACTGAGCCACTAAATCACTTATTCTGGACATCACTTCGTAATCATGCATAAGATCGTTCATCTCTACACAGAGATTGTCCGCATCAGCTGCTTGTCCACACTCTCCGCTTTTATCAGATTTTAAACTGCCGCCCTTATTCAAACCAGCGGTGAGTAATCGACTTAAAGTCGGAGAAGTGCTGGTGTCTTGAATCTAAATGGATTCATTGATATTAATGTATCTTTAAAAAACATTCGATCGATTTATTTTCATGAATAATTGTTCAATATTGAATAAGACTACAAGTTATGCTATAATATTTTTATCCTATATACCTCAATATCTGATACTGGATATGTCCATTTTAATGTTAGTCGTTCGTTTCCTGAAAAATCCTCCGTGGATCTCGGAGTTACGGAAACGCACACTACTAAATCGTTTAGTAACAACAGCCTTCTTCTCTTAGATTTCGTTATCATGCCATTTTGATTAAATTCCTATAAATAATTATTTGTTTATAAATACATCACGTTGTGTTTTGACGGTACACTTGTAGTTGTTAAATGAATTTTACCATTTGTGTAACATTGTCCTCTCTAATAAGATAACGAGACGTTGAAGAAAGTGGACGATGTGATAACTTTCCGGAAACATGCCGCAACATTTCCTTAAATGCTTGAAATTGTTCCGCTTCTCGTTTTCTTTCGTTCAGCATTTCTGCCAAACTCTCGAGCTGTGTTAACGCTAATTGCAGCGACATTCTGTCATGGTGTCCTTGTGGTGTATGCTTCAATAAATCCTAAATATAAAAAATGTGCATATATTATTTTAATAAAATTAAACATTATCCTATACATTGTTAATATACGCACTTGTAAAAACAAGATAAATTGAGGAAACCTCTGTACGGGTTTGACCATTAATCCAAAGAAAGATAATCTATCGTGAGCACTGATTTGTTTCACCTATAAAAACAACAATTATAAAATTACAACTTAAATACATTAAGATAAAAGTCACTTCGAGATAACACCTACCTTAAAAAAGTCGGCGAGTGCGGTTTTTCTTTTCGATTCTTGTTTAGCTAAATCCATCGCTACAGAAAAATTGTTTATAAAGCCACTATAAATGTCAAGAACAATAGCCTTGCTAAAACTCCCGACAAATACGTCTCCTAACTTTTCATCCTTGTCCCAGGATCGTACACATTCTGCTAAAGCAATTCTAAATAATGTATGGCATTGTAAAATTTCAGGCAGCCTATGAAACAACGTCGCAATTTTAGATTGACTCAATATAGGTGGCGAAGATTCCTCCAATGGTTTTTTGTAATCCTAAAAATTAAAATGACTTATTTGAGAAAAATATGGCCACTGTTTGTCATCGTTGACACTATCAAATTGTTTTTCAATACATACGTTTACCAGTCTCTGCAAAGTAGATACATAACTATTTTCGGAGTGTACTATCGCGGCCACAATATGTCTACGTTTCAGTTGCTGAGGGGACAAGTTCGAAGGTGGCGATGGAAGCGTAGGCGGAGCTTGTCTTCGCTGTTGCATGCATTGAAATTGTACCATAGCACTGTTCTCTTCATCGACCTAAAATATGATTATTCGATGAATAACCTTTCAAGCAAACTATTCGAGTAAACGACGCGTCGTAAGCCAATTGGTCGAGTTTGAAAAGTTATCAAGATATGCTCACTTCACAGAGTTGTGGCATTTGCGATGTTTTGACTGGACTGGTCAGAGACACTGTGTCCGAGGAATCGACCTCATAATGGTGTACGGAACCCCGGCGGATGCTAAACCACCTTGCGAGGCGGCCGTGATTCCCCGGAGATTCCAGGAGGTCTACATTGTTTACCGGCATATTCTGAAACCGCCACTTGTCGCAAAGCGTGCGCGCCTTATGCAACGTGTTTCTCAATTGACAGTTGCTTCTGCAAGGAGCGAACGGCAAGTTTTCATTATGGACTTTAGCTTCGTCGGTATTATGTAACGAGATTGAACTTACTTAATACTGATATTGCTCTTTTCGCTTTCGTCATCGGAGGAGAGATCGTGATCCGACGCCGAGCACCAGGAATCCTCGCTTCTGGCAGACTGCGTGGACGTGTTGGACCTGCTGGTCTCTAACGAGGAATGATGCGTGTGTGAATTCCCGCTGACTGTTTCCATTTTGCCCGGTCCTACGTCATCCCACGATCTGCACCTTGAACGAGGCTCATCTGGAAATGAACAACAAACTTACGATTGATAGGAAAGGACAACTTCGCTCGCGTCTTCTCATAAATTAAAACAAAGAAAAGAGAGAAGAGAAGAGTTTTAACGATTCCGATTTAATAATTTCGTAACTCTGACTATAATGGAAGTAATATTGTCCTGGCGCGTCATCGCGATCAGCTATATAGATATCCGCTATGCGTCACCATTGAGAGAACAGGCGATTCTTTCCGTACTTGATCCTCGCGGAGATACGATCGCGACGCACGACCGGCCACGGTCATTAAAGGGAAAAAAATCGCCAAGTGCGAATGTAACGAGTTCTTTGCGCGATCAAGTCAGGGCCCCTCGCTTCCTCGCTTCCTCGCGCGGAAGCATCATCATCACCACATCACCTCGCTATGCGTCGCCCCGTTTTATTGGACCTTCCGCTGTGTCGCGCGCTCGCGTTACCAACGCGTTAACGTCGCGACGATAATCGGGTTAATGCGACGTGCTCAATGTCCCGTTCCCACGTTTCTCGCGTACGCGGATAACAAAATGCGCGTTAAACTCCGCAACGATCTACGACGCAATCGTCGATGCGCGCGTTAGACTCCGAGGTCCGAGCGCCGAGATGAAGCTGGACCCCTCCCGGTGAATCTTATTCAGACTACGTCTCGCGAAAACAAAGCGATCGCGCCTCACAAACACACGTTCACGCCGATACGCATAATATATAGATTCTATACCACGGAGCGTGGAAAGAAAAATGTAAAATCATCAAACACGTAATCAAATCAGTTTACGAAGCCGCAAGGTCTTTTTATAAATCGAGGGCACTGGAACGACGGTAAATAATGGTCAGCGAGTGATCGATATTGTCAATTTCTCACTGTCTCGTTGTTCCACTGAAACGAACTCTGCGCGCGAAAAAACCAAAAAAACGAACGAGTTTTATGAATTTTATAATATAGAAAAATTATACAAAGGCACGCGCAACCGGCGCTGCAACCGTGCACGCGTGTGTCACCAACAGGCTGCACGAAAACCGATACGCCTACTACGCATCAATTGCCCAATACTTTCACATGGGAAAAAAATACGGGACGAGATCGGATCCCATCCGACTCGGTCCGACTCCGCTCTTACGCTACCCACGCACCGCGCGAGAACGTTGCGTGCTCCGATGTGTAAACGTCGTCGCGTCGCGACGAGCGGCGTGCTCGCCGCGCGAAGCGCGACGCGCACGCACCAAGACTCGAAGGTGCGAGCTGCGACGGACTTGCCGTGATTCACGACAGCGGTACCAACTACCACGCACGGCTGTACCGAGTTAACCGAGTATCGCGCATCCTTATTCTATGTGTATTCCTTCTTCGCCGCGCGACCGAGCGACGTGCACACGCGGCTGATACTATTATGCTGCTCGGTGCTCCTCGGGATCAACGAGAGCCTCTATCGCGCGTATCTATCAAACTGCTCGCGCCCGCGCGTGCTCCCG